TCTGGGCCCGGCCGCCGCCACCTGGCGTGGCAGACCTCGGACTGGCGGCCTCAGTTTCCTCAGCCGCGCGCCCGGGCGGAGGGTCAGAGGCTGCAGCCGTGAGAACCAGTCTCGCCAGCTCGCCCGGTTTTCTGAGAGAAACCGGAGGTCGCGTTGTCAGTGCAATGTCGTCCGGTCGCGAAGCGTCGGCAGCCAGTTCTCACTGGGCGGGTCCAACAGAACAGACCTGGAGCCGGGGCAGCGGGGGCGCCACCACTTTCTGCCCGGCTTCTCCGCGCGGTTCTCCTCGCCCCGGGTGCACCGAGATGCTGCAAGTCTGCTCTCTGGAAGACCCATTCCAGAGCGCACCCGAGTGGGCACCCTCTGAAGGCTTCGTCTGTGGAAATGAGGAGCCACTGCCTCTCTCCTCTTCCCGAGCTGCTCCCATTGCCTTTGTTGCCTTTCTTCATGCTGCTAAGGATTGGGGTTCGTTGAGGGCAGGCACTGCTCGTTTGGGGGCCCTGCAGAGGACTGAGGGTGTCTATTCAGTAAATGGTGAAGAGTTGAAAATTCCTCTAAAATGATTTTGACTGTCATCCATGAGTTCATGAAAATTCATTTTATGTCCTTCAGTTTTACCTACTTGGGACATAAAGCTTCCTTTCTGCTCCCCCCTAAAGCTATGAACAGCACTGAAAAGAGGGACCTTGCTTGTGATGTCTAGAATTGGGGATATTATGGGACTGGGACGGGGAGACAATCTAGTAGGGAAGGGCTTTGGGATAGAGTAACCCTTTCTCAAATGAAAAGGGGGCGAGGGTCCACTGAGTGAGCTCCAAGGAGCATTCTTTACCCTAGAAAAACAGGTATCAGGAAAGAATCACAGAGAATGTGCTGCATTTCGACTCAATTTTTTATTTTTAAAAATATTGTCAATTACAGAAGTGTACTTAACACTCTGGAATGTTTTTCATCTAAATCAGCAAAGCCGAAAAACATTATTGGTGAGCTAGACAGTAGTCTGAATCACTTTCTTGTACTTTGTTGATGGGAGAATAAATTGGTACACCTTTCATGGAGGACAATGGGAATGTTTTCAAATTGTTTCAAATGTTTCAAATAACAAATATATGTTAAAATCAGAATGACCCAGCAGTTCTATATCAAGGATATTTTCCTCAGATATTTGCTACATGTATAGCACATCTGAATGATTTTCCGTGCACAACTGCTTACATTAGCAAACAATTGGAGGAAACCCAGATGTCTCTCACTAGGATTGGTTAAATAAAACCTGTTTATCCATACAATGGACTGTGGGAGGGGTATGAAGTTATATGCAAAAGCTAAGGAAGGAATGTAGATTTACAGATTCACCTGAGACACCAAGAGGTATCTTCTAGAAGGGTATACAGGAAAGTGGAATAGTAGTTTCCTCTGGGAGAGGATCTGGTTGGGGCATACGTAGTGGGGCAATTTAAATTTTATAATATACCTTTATGTGCTTTTTGAGTTTGGGTCATGTTAATGTATTACAAATTCCAAAATACATTTGAGAATTGTATTATATTTCAAACTGACAGGAAAGTCCAGGAAATAAAATATTTCTATCAGATTATAATGTTTTGTCTTATATGATTTGTTTTGAAGAAATAAAACATTCCCATTTTCCTTCCTGGAAATAATCATGACCCTGAATTTGGCTTTTATTATCTATAAGCAAATTGGATGCTATTGTTCTCAAACTTTTTTTTTCTTTTGGCAGCTGGCTGGTGTGGGGATCCAAACCTGTGACGCTGGTATTATATGGCTGCACTCTAACCTACTGAGCTAACCAGTCAGCCCTTGTTTTCAAACTTTTTGTAAACAGAATTGTGCTATATGTATTCTGCAATTCACTGTTTTCTCTCTGCCTGACCTTGAGATTTTTCCAGGTTGATAACTGTAGCTTCAGTTCTAGTTTGCTCATTTTAACTGTTACTTAAGGATCTGTTGAATCACTGTGCCATGACACCTGTTCTCCTGAGGATGGACATTTTGGTGGGCCAGTGCTTGCTTTATATATGTGGTCTTAAATGTTGTTGCACTCTGTGCTGTGCTTTTTCACAGCAGGGAATCAGTCTATTTTTCTTCACACACCTCTCAGCATCTAGCTGAGTTCCTTAAATTGTGCTTGATAAACCTGCTTTGCTTGCTTAAGGAAGCAGTCTTCCTGTTTTACCGTACTCGTCCTTGCAGTAGGTGTTTAGGGAGTAGCTGCCATCCATCCCTTCCCAAGAGGGCAGAGGGACTGCTGTGTTCATAGTAGGGGAGGACCCCACATGGGGGCTTGATGTCTGTTGAGGTGGTCAGTCCTTAAAGTCATCCCCAGAGAAGAAGGCCTTCTCGTCTCCGTGGTCATCGCGGCGGTCATGAGGAAGTTGAGGTTTGGAGATGTGGGCCAAGTGCCCAGAGTCTGTGGTTAGCAAGAGGTGCAACCAGCCATGGGGGTTTTGAGATGTGTGTGAGATAAAGCCTCAGCCCTCAAGAAGTCTGAATCTCCTTGTGGTGGGGAGATAAGACAAGTTTGAGTAGTGGGGCATGTTTGTCGTATTCTCAGTATGGTGAGGGGGAAGAAGTGATCGAGCTAAACCATGGCCATTGTGGGCTATGAGAGACAGAAAGGTCTAAAAGGGAGATTGAAAATGTTCAGAGGATGATAGCTGTCCCTGTGGGTTTAAGAACTTGTGATGGGGCAGGTGAAGTAAGGCTTGAAGGTAGGTTTTAAGCCAGGTCAAAGGGAGCCCCAAATGGGAGGCAGTTGGGAACCACTGCTTGAGAAGTCAGATGGCACTCTTGAGGGGCATTTTGGGAACTCCGTGCAGCCTGGGCAGAGGAACCTGGGGAGGATGAGGCAACAGGTAGGGAAGCTAGTTGGGGCTTCATTGGTGCAGTCTGACTTAGAATGGTGGACATGGGAGTAAGGGGGTAGCTATCTGAGACAGGTGAGAAGGAATCAGAACTACAGGGTCTGATAAGGCAGAAGGGTAAGAAAGGAAGAGATCACTGAGATCATGAGGTTTCTGAAGTGGAATTAGTAGTGGCACCATTAACAAAAATAGACCAATTGGGAGGGCTACTGGTTGGATTAGGCACTGAGCTGGCTGTGTGATTGGCAATGAATGCTCTTGGGAAAGAGGGGTGGGCTGGAGAAGGATGTGTCAGAAAAAAAAAAGGAAGAGGTCAGACAAGGAGGACTTGTCAGAGGGCAGAGTTTCCAGGTAAAGGAGAATCCTAAGTGAGGTGGTCAGCAGAGGATACGCCTTGGCTCTGGCCATCTCTGAGGCCTTGATGAGAATCCAGGGTGGGAGGGAGGGGTGCGTGGGTGGACAGAGGTCCCAAGTGCAGGAGGCAGATGGGGGATGGAGGAAGGCCTACAGGAGAACTGAGCATGTTTATTGGGAAGCAGAAGACGATCCAGGAAGAGGAGAAGGCAGTGGAGGGAAGGTGGTGTCCCTGAGCCTCAGTAGTAAGGGGGAAAACCTCTTCTTGGCAAGTTTTATGTTAGGATCTATTTTGCATTTTTTCTTTTAAAGATATAATAGGAAATTGGAGAAGAAACACATTGTGGGGAAGAAAAAGTGGGGTAACATGGAGAAGGCAGATGTTCACAGCCTTGTTGCTGATTGGCTGTTCTGTGGCCTAGAAAATATGCGGCTCAGCCACACCTCTCAGTGCAGGACTGGCCATTCTCTGACCCGGAGCAGCCGGCTGTCCACAGGCACTTCTGGTTTGTTTGAAGTCTGTAGCAAAAGTTTGTTCGCAGTAGGTTTGTTTTACTGTTTGGGTTTCTGAGGTTCCTATTCAAAATCAGTTTGCATTTTTTGAGCATACTGACTTAATTATTAGAAGGTATCCTTGAATTTAAAACACAATGCAGATGATCTTGAATGCACTAGATCTAGTTGAAGTTACTGTGCTTGACTCTCAGAATCTTGCTAAAAGAAGTCAGGTCTTGTGCTTCCCCCTGCCCCCTGGCAGGGAGGGTTTCAGTGTTGGAACCCTGCCCTAGGTCTGGGTCTCCAGACTATCACTCAGGCCTTGCCATTTTTGTGTATCCATTCCTTCGAAAGGGATCCCAATTTTGTTCTTTCTCAGTGGGAGAGAGGAGGAGCTCTTGAGATACCTGGTATGTGCTGGTGCTCTATATTCATTGTTTTACCAATTTTAGAATACAATTTTTGATAAAAGTGGATACTTTTGTCTCCCTCTTCACAGTTGAGGAACCCAAAGTTCAGGTTGGTTTGTGATTTGGTGGCAGGGCAGGCCTCCAGCTGGGCTCTGTCTGTCTCCCAAAAACCCTTCTGTTTCACTGCAGTGCTGAAGGAGATAAAATGGGATGGGGAATCTTGGGGATGAAGGGACACAGAGTTGGATGGAGAAGGAATTAGGAGGTTTGGGACTACAGAAAGCACAGGTGGGCTGGAGGGAGGCAGAGGCGCAAGATGAGCAGCAGGTGCCACAGAACGCAGAGCTGGCCAGTTGGTGCACGGTTGGGGTGCTGCTGCCCGCTCACTCCCTGTCTTCTGTTTTGCCAGCCAACAGCCGCGGGTGGTGAGGGCTTGTGCGGCTGTCAGAATGGCGGAGGAGCAGGAGTTCACCCAGCTGTGCAAGTTGCCCTCGCAGCCCTCCCACTCACACTGCATCAACAACACATACCGCAGCGCACAGCACTCCCAGGCCCTGCTCCGGGGGCTGCTGGCTCTTCGGGACAGTGGGATCCTCTTCGATGTTGTTCTGGTGGTGGAGGGGAGACACATTGAGGCCCATCGCATCCTGCTGGCTGCATCCTGTGATTACTTCAGGTGAGTTACCTATGCCTGTACTTATTTATTTATTTATTGGCGGCTAGCAGGGATCGAACCCTGGACCTTGATGTTATCAGCCCCATGCTCTAACCAACTGAACTAACCAGCCAGCCCCTTCACCTGTTTTTATTCTATTTTTTATTTTATTTTTATTTTTTATTTTGGTGACTGGCCAATACACGGATCTAAACCCTTGACTTTGGTGTTGTAATACCACGCTGTAACCAACTGAACTAACCAGCTGACCCCCCATACCTGTTTTTAGATGAAAACAACACCGGTGATCTTGGCTCCATTATAAAGGTACTGCCAGCAACAGTGGCTGGGTCTCCTGCTCGCCTCAGAGCCTTTCCCACTGCTTGTTGTGGAGACTCAACAAGCATGAGAGACAGAAAGGGTCTCAGAGTTTGTTTTTGTTTCAGCTCTCCTGTCTCTTGGGCATGTTCTCTTTTTCCTTTTTTTTTTTTAAAGATATCATGCTTGGCTTTACTTGAAATATGGCATTTTATTTATTTATTTTTTTAAAGATAACAGGTAAGAGGATCTTAACCTTTGACTTGGTGTTGTCAGCACCACGCTCAGCCAGTGAGCTAACCAGCCATCCCTATATAGGATTCGAACCCATGGCCTTGGTGTCATCAGCACTGTACTCTCCCAAGTGAGCCATGGGCTGGCCCCTGAAATACTGCATTTTATAAGATGAGTCTTCACTGTCAGTACAGTTTCTTGGTATAAAACAGATTGTCTTTCTATTTTACTCTGACTTCCATCCTCATTCCAACATTTCCATTTTGAAAAACTTGAAATCTATGGAAAAGTCAGAAGAATATGACATGCACACCATTTTAGAAGACATTATGACAGCATATCCCTCATTGTCTACGCTGCTCAGCACCCCTGGAGGTGGACGCCATTTCTCATTTCACACAGGTGGGATGAGGTTCAAAAGGAATGAGGGCTGCCCATGGCCACCAGCAGGGGTGGCATAGGACTCCAAGCCCAGGTCACTACATCCTATTTTATCGTTTTGTCTTCAAGGCTTGGTTGCCGTTCTCATTTTTTTTTTTTTTTTAATAATTTTATCATTGGAGATATTAGATGTTAAATTCAATTTTTTAAATTTGGAAAACAAACTTACTTTTGAACACTTTCATTTTCTTTTGTGTGTGTGTGTGTGTGTGTGTATATATATATTTTTTTTATTTTAACTAATTTATTTTTTTCTTTTTTTTTTTCCTTTTTGTCTTTTTTCGTGACCGGTAACGGGATCGCAACCCTCGGTGTCGCGCCCGCACCGCGCTCAACCAGTGAGCGGACCGGTCTCTATATGGGATCCGAACCCTTGGTGGGTGCGCTGCCATGCTCCCAAGCTCCGCACACCGGGCCGGCCCTAATTTATTTTTTTCTTACTCAATCTCTCCCCAACCCCTTTCTCCACATCCTGGTCGGCATTTGTCATGCTTGGTCTTTTTAATGATGTCCAGTCTTAACTGGGGTGAGATGATGTCTCAATGTGGTTTTGATTTACATTTCCCTGATTCTTAGTGATGTTGAGCATTTTTTCATGTACCTGTTGGCCATTTGTATGTCTTCCTTTGAAAAATGTCTATTCAGCTCCTTTGCCCATTTTCTAATTGGATTTTTTTATTGTGTAGTTTTTTGAGTTCCATATATATTCTGGATATTAATCCCTTGTCGGATATATAGTTTGCAAATACTTTCTCCCATTTCATAGATTATCTTTCTGCTCTGTTGATTGTTTCCTTTGCTGTGCAGAAGCTTTTTAGTTGGATATAGTCCCATTTGTTTATTTTTTCTTTTGTTGCTTTGCTTTGGGGTGTTAGTCATAAAGTCTTTGCCCAGTCCTACTTCCTCAAGTGTTTCCCCTATGTTTTCTTTTAGTAATATTATGGTTTCAGGTCTTATACTGACATCTCTAATCTATTTTGAGTTGATTTCGGTATATGGTGAGAGGAGCACGTGTTGTTTCATTTTTCTGCGTATAGATGTCTAATTTTCCCAGCACTGTTTATTGAAGAGGCAGTCTTTTCTCCAGTGTATGTTCTATTTGCCTTTGTCAAAGATCAGTTGGCTTGTATTTTTTTTTTTTTTTTGACTTTAGGAAGTATTCAGCAAAATATTTCTTTATGGTTTAAGTGTCTCCTGTCTCCAGAAGGAGTTTATGGAGAAGTGGTGGCTTGGTGCAGACATGTCCAGGGGCAGCAGTGTCCCTTCAGTTTACTTGGGGGTTCAATTGATGCCTTTAATAAGCTTTAAGATAATGTACAAGATGGTGGGCAAGGAGGGGGAGTGGAGGGCCAACTGTAGGGGGCCTTAGGGCCTGTGCAGGAGAGGCCGGTAGAGGTCTGCAGAGCCAACGAGACCTCCTGGGCTCACCCGTGCAGCCCTTCAAGCCCAAACCTCTCTCCCTGAGCAGGCAGTCCTGAGTGTTACTGTCACACCACTTTTCCTGAAAAGAGCAGTGTGGACTCCACCTTTCCCTAATTGATCAAAAACCTTCTGTGGCTTTCTACATCCTCCTGTGGCTAGGAGTGATTCCTGTTCCTTTCCACAGCTCCCCTCAAGTGGGGCTCTCATGGGAGGTGTCCTCCTCTCTGGCATGGTCACAGTGCGTGGCTGACACTCCCTCCACTTCTCCACTTCCATTTGGAGGGAGAGTGTCAACATTATTAGGAGAGCCCAGGTGTGTGTGGCTCTCATGGGAGGTGTCCTCCTCTCTGGCATGGTCACAGTGCGTGGCTGACACTCCCTCCACTTCTCCACTTCCATTTGGAGGGAGAGTGTCAACATTATTAGGAGAGCCCGGGTGTGTGTGGCTCTCATGGGAGGTGTCCCCCTCTCTGGCATGGTCACAGTGCGTGGCTGACACTCCCTCCACTTCTCCACTTCCATTTGGAGGGAGAGTGTCAACATTATTAGGAGAGCCCAGGTGTGTGTGGCTCTCATGGGAGGTGTCCCCCTCTCTGGCATGGTCACAGTGCGTGGCTGACACTCCCTCCACTTCTCCACTTCCATTTGGAGGGAGAGTGTCAACATTATTAGGAGAGCCCGTGTGTGTGTGTGTGTGTGTGTGTGTGTGTGTGTGTGTGTGTGTAAGAAATAGATCATTCCCAAGCCTTAGCATGGTTATTATTTATTTCAGTTATTTGATCAGGTTAAAATGACAAAAGACCATTTTTTCCCAGTAAGACTGGTGAAGATGTGAAAGATTTATAATGTCTGATGTGGGCAAAGATAGAAAGAAAGAAATTTAGGGATGGGCTGGCCCATAGCCTGGGGCCCTGCAGTTGTATGTCAGGTTGTGTGTCTTGCTGTCTGTCCTGTGGGATGATGTGCCCAGTGCAGAGACATGGTATAGGGCAGGGCCAAGGGTGGCCTTCCGTTCTGTGATGTCTAGTGCAGTCACATACAAACAGGCGGGGTGGTGTGGCTATTGATAGGGAGTGCACAATCTCAGGACTGGTAGAAGGTGGTACCACTGTGAAATCTGAAAAGACACAAGCTGCACTGTGGGGATGGAACGAAGGGGGAAGGGAACCGAAGGCTGCCTTTCTTCCCTTTAACTGCATTGTTTGAGTTACTTGACAAAGAACAGGAATCACTTTTGAGATGTGGAGTTTTACTTCATAGCCTCTTACAGCCGATGGGACTGCCCCAGTATGTGCTGACACAGGGTTGAGAGATGCTGCCTAAGGCCTTGCACAGTTAAGGTCACTTGGCACTCCAGGAGCCACCCCCTTTCCAGTCTCTTCTCCCCCTATTTGCCTAATGTTCTCTTCAGCCACATCCACTGTGGTCCTGACATGCTCCAGGCCTTTGTTGCCTCTGTCATCTTGCTCTTATTCCCTTAGCTGTGCTGACCTCTGCCTTTCCTGCTGTGCACAGCTTTATCTTCAAGGCCTGTCCTTCAAGGTGCCTCCTCCTTTGGGGAGCCTTCCCTAATTATCCATCACCTTTTCCCAGCTAGAGGGATCTCAGTCTCCTCCCCGCAGAATGCCACTGGCCCCTGGAGGGCAGAGGGCTGTATCACCCTCGCCCCAGCAACACTGCTGCTGGAAGGCTTATTGGTTTTCGAGTGTACTCTGTGCATGGTTTAGGAACTGGATGGTCAGAGGGCACCTGAGGTCTTCTTTTTTTGACTTTTGCTAATAACTTTATGCTTCATGTCTCTTGGCTCCCATGACCTTACACTCACCTGTTTGTGCCTCTGAGCTGGTTTCCCTTCTCCTCCCGGACCCCTGTGGTTTGAAAGACCCAAGGGGTTCTGTCCTGTATAGAGCTTACCTGGGTCATCTCATCCCTGCCTTAGTTTTCATGCCATCGGTAAATTATAAAAGATTACTTTGCTCAACTCAATGCCTGTGATTTTGAAAATTTGGATTAAATTGATGATTTTATAGAAAATATAAATTGACAGAACTTCACTCCCAGAAGAGAGAACAAGTTATATTCCCCACAAAAGCACAAACCCCAGATGTTTCCCTGGATAGTCGTGCCTTTTAGTAACAGACTCCAATGTCATTTAATCTTTTTCAGAGCAATTTTAGAAAAAGAAGGGAAGTTTCCATATTTTTTTACTAAAGTTACATAACATTGGTATCAAATGGGACAGACAGCCAACACAAAAAGAACACTACAGTTTATTTATGAATGAATGTGTGAAAATCCTTAGTGAGACCCTGGCACATAGAGCTCCACCCTGCTTAACAGAACTTTAAGAGCAGTAGTTCCTAGTGCAAGTAGGCATTGTTCTTAGCAGGAAAGTTTAGTTCTGTGTTAGGGAATCTTTCTTACAATGCTTTTCTGCATGTATATCTACATAGCATATCTACAGACATGATAGGCAGTCATGTGGTAACATTCAACATTCGTTCCCACACTTAAAAAGTTTTTTTTTTTTTTGGTTACTGGTGGGTAACAGGGTAAAAAACTTTTTGATTAGGTGAAAAGGGATACCCAGTGAAGTACCACTTCACCCTGCACTCCCACCTCATTCCCTCACCTTGGTAACCAGTTTTTAAACATTCCTTTTCATCCATGCACTGTTTCTTCAAGTTTGGCACAAATTCATTAAAGCACAAACCCTTCCCTAAGCTGTTATGAGGCTAATTATATTTTTTATCCTACTTAGCATGAGTCTTTGTACTTTTTGCTTTGGAAATATTAAGGTGTTTGAATATGAGGTACTGACCTAGACTTCATGGGTTATAACATCCTATAAGGCATGTGTACAGTATTTCTCACCTTGAACCTTCGGAATTTTGAAACACACCTGGCCTTAAGGATTTGGACTAGAGATCAGGACCTGAGCGAGCCAACACAGGAAATGTTTTCTCCCCCACCTTACATCAGATGCAGCACACTGACCATCAGTAGAGGGTCGCCATCCTCCCAGCTGCTCCCCCCAGCAGAGGGCCGTGAATCCTCCTGGGCCTTTCTAGATTCAGTCAGCAAGTTCTCTTAGCTGTGCCCCAGGGATAGTCTCAACTACAGCCAGAGCTCTCCAGCTGTATCACCTCCCAGGGTCAGGCTCACTTCTCACCCCAGGCTCATGTAGGCTCCTCCTGCTTAACCAGTCTTCCCACCCCTCCAAGACCCCCAGGTCTGAAAAGCCATTCAGCTCATACCACTCTCTGCAGTTTCTCCTTGTGCTTGGATTTCAACCCAGACTCCACCTGTCCTAGAGGTAGCAGGACCTGGCCTGGGGCCTGCCTGGCCCTGCCTCACGTCCCACTCACCTCCCTCTCGTCCTGGCTGCTGTGCCTGCCAAGTTCTTCCTCAACCAGCACTTGTATACCTGCCCTTCCTCCTGGAATGCCCTCAGTCTCATTAGGTCTCAGTTCTTCAGAGGAGGCCTTACCTGCCTCTTCCCATCACCCTACCCACACCTCTCCCAGAGAGGCACCTCTAGGTCAGATGCCCTGTTAAGATCCTTCCTAGCATTTTCACAACCTGAAATACCTTATTTCTTTTTGTTTTCCTTTTTTTTTTTCCTCCCTCCACTAGCATTAAACTTGTATGTAGGAATCTTACTAGTTTACTTCACTGTTACTCCTTCTGCACTTTGAATGGTACTTGGCATTTGGTAGGAGCTCAGCAAATATATGTTGAATGGAATGACTTGTATTTTATTACTCGTTTCCCATTACTTCATTCTTTTAAAACGTGCTCTGGAGTTGCTGCTGCTTTGATCTAGGAACTGCACTAATGAATGCAGCAGAAAGCAAACTGGACCATGGGCCTGCCCTCATGATGCTCACATTGGACTTCCTGGAAAAGGGAGGCAGGGCAATTTCTAGGATGGCTGCCCAGACTTGGTCAAGATCCTTTCATAAGATGACTCACGTGTGCAGGCTGTTTACTTAGAGCACAGAGCGGGTCAGCCCACTCCTGTGCTGGCCCTGTTGCCAGCACTTCATTCCTGCTCTGAATGCTCTTGCTCTTTGCAGCCTGGGCTTGCGTCCTGATTGGTATAACTCCCTTGTCTTGTCTCTTCACTTTGCAGAGGAATGTTTGCTGGGGGATTGAAGGAGATGGAGCAGGAAGAGGTCCTGATCCACGGCGTGTCCTACAATGCCATGTGCCAAATCCTGCATTTCATATACACCTCCGAACTAGAGCTCAGCCTGAGCAATGTGCAGGAGACACTGGTTGCCGCCTGCCAGCTTCAGGTGAGGCTTGCTTTGTTGAGTAGGGCAAATCTATATCCAGGGGAGGTTTCTCCGAGATGCCTGTCATGTCTGCTTGGCAGTGGCATTGACATGAGTCTGGGTCAGGAAAGTGGAGACAGCAGCGGAGGACACAGAGCAGGGGTTGGGGGAGGCTCTTGGGTTGTTCCCTGGGAGCTAAAACAGCTGCTCCACATGGTCCCTGACCAGGCTCCTCTTCTGCCTTTGCCTTCTACTCTTTTGCTGGTTCCTTCCCCTCTGCCCGGGTCTTCCTGCCATTGAAAAGATCCCACACGTAAGCAAGTGGGCAAACCTTGAGGATGTGCATGTGATGTCCATGTGCTCTGGGGTCTGGCAATGTTGAGCCTCTCTGGCATTGTTATACAGGCATTTTCTTCCTGTCCTCTGTGTTCAACTGCTTCATCTTCTTAAAACTGTTTTCCCTTTTAAATATTTATTTTCCTACAGAATTCAAGAAGTTTTCTGAGGCTTTGGCAGTGCGACCTGTGTTTTGGAAGATTCTATTGAATCTCAGTGGTGTAAGTGCAGTTACACAGGGCTGGGACTGCAGGTGCCTTTGAGCTATCTGTCAGAGGCCTGGTCTAGGTTGAGTCACCTCTTCCCACATCTCTTGAAAGTGAAACAAAATGCTTCGCTGAGTTCATCATTCTGACCTTATATCAGATGAGAGCAGTTTGGGGCAATTAGAAAAAACTCAAGTCATAGGGAAACCAACCTGTTTAGAGGCATCTGGAGGCCCCATCCTGCGTGGCAGGGCCAGGGCAACCTCCCCGTGCCCTGTTCTCAGATTGTCAGGTTGGAGGCACTCCATGTATGCTTGTTGGGTTGATCTGAGCACGCCTCACCTCACCATACTGGCATGATGGGTAGATGGGGTTGGCCTTTACAACAGAAGAATTTCCCCGTGTTCTTCTGTTCAGAGATCTCTTCTGTCCCCGTGTCCCTGTCATTGTTGCTTTGGTAACCCTCATCCAGTTCTCCGACCTTTGAGCACTGCCTTCCTCTTAGCTGCCTCCAGAACATCTCCCCTAGCCCAGCTGAGGTCCAGCCATCCATCTCCTCCACACCTGCTGCACTCCTTCCTGGTGCTCCCCTTCCTGACTATATGTTCTGTGTGTCCTATGACAGTCCTACCAGTACCTTGGGCTCAGCCTCGGTGGCTCCTCGAGTCCTTCCACCTTCTTCATTCCCTATGTCCAAGTTTAGACAAGTCCTTGCCAGTATTGCTTGTAGCCATCTCTGTTTTCTGTTTTTGTTTTCTTCACTTTGTCCTGGTATCCATTTTCCTATTTCTGCCTTCCTAGCTGATTTCAGCCTTCTCCTCCTCTCTGCATCTATCATGCACACTGACATCCAGTCATCTTCCCAAACACTGCTTTCCCTCTCTCACCCATCATTGAGAGGCCTGCAGTCTCTCCTCATCGGTTTGGCCAATGCTCATGAGAGCCCTGGGCTATCTGCCCCATTGCCTCAGAGGCTGTCTGGAGGGCAGTAGCCTGGCTTTGCTTTTAACATGTCAGGCTTCTATGCAATATTGTGGGGTTTTGGGGGATTTTTTTTGCAGCTGGCTGGTAGGGGCATCTGAACTGTTGAACTTGGTGTTATCAGCACCATGCAATATTGTTTTAAAGCAACTTTTACTTGGCATACCATAGGCCTACCAAGTCATGTTTGTTCAGGTAGTTGGTGACTATTGGTGGCTTACTCCCCATGTACTGTGTCCTGCATTAGGCCCGAGATCTGACTCCCAGTGAGACCATCCCCACCTGGTTACCCCAAACAAACGCATTTGTTCCCTTCTCTGAGCCTCTTGTGGGGGGTCCTGCAGGGAACAGCCCAAGGCTAGTTCCTCTGTGAGACCCCCCAACGGAGAGCAGGAGAGAGGCAGCAGCACCCTGGTGTAGGAGGGTTGGGCTCTTCTCAGGGAGCTGCTGCTTGGGCTCAGTCAGGGCTGTTTGCTCTCACTGGGTCCTCTTCAGGACCCAGGCTCATGACAGATCAGAAAGAGTATTCCAGGAAGAAGAGGCAAAGCAGAAGCACCTGCTGAGGGATAAAATAGATGGTCAAGTGAAGACTTTCACGACCTAATAAAGCATCGTGGGGACATCTCATGTAGGGCACACTCCTGCCCAGTGATTGGCAGGTGTCCATTTAGCCCTTAGCATATCATCTGGCAAGCAAGCATTAGATGTCTTTTGAATTTAAAAAAAAATTTTTTTTTAATGTCTATTGATAAGTTTCAAATACCACAAAATTATGTATAATGGTTAATTCATTGGTGATGCTGGATAAGTCAGGTATTCCCATTTTAGAGAAACTCTAAAATCCTATTTTCCTAAAGAATTTATCAACACCTGGTTTGTTACCCCAGGCAGTTTTCCCTAGAGCCCTTCCTTTTATTCTGCTATGCTTTGGCTATCTGATCACAGGGTGTCTAACGGGGGCCCACAGGGCCTGTGTCCTAATTCTCAGCTCCCTCCCACTTGAGCACCAATCCCTCTTTTGCCCTCCTTCCAACCCACTGGTGTTTCCGTAAGGTTGGGAGGGAATGAGGCGGGCCACCTGGGAACCCTTGCACTCACTGGAGTCATGTGGGCCTCAGGACAGCTTGCCAGCTTATCAAGACTCCTGAGTCAGGTTTCTGGGATGGGTGCAGGGCAAGTGTCTGGAACCCGCTCTGAGCACGTGGGTGAGTGATACAGCCTGCTCCTGGGGAAGTGGGTGGGGTTGCTGGGTCTGCAGCTTTGGCTGAGCCTCTGGCGTGGGAGTTCTGGCAGGAGAAAGGAGCTAGATGTGGTTTCAGTCCCAGTGCTTTTGGAGTGGCAGTCTCTTCTAGAGAGCCCTGGGGGAGGAGAGTGCAGAGAGTGGTCCTGGGTCCCTTCCAAACCAGGGATATCCGACATGGTGACTGGTGACCATTTGTGCTGCTTCCTGCTTCTCTGGAGAGCCCATATTTTAATCTGAAAGGCAGTTGATATATATCAAGAGTCTGTTCTGAGCCAGTTAGTTTCTCTGCACTTTAATTTTCAGTGTACCCCACTTCAACCCTGTTTTATAGATGAAGAAACGAGGCTCAGAGAGGTTATAAGCATGCTGCACATCTCTCACTTGGTACCTTTTCAAGCCAGGATTTAAACCTAGTCAGTCTACAGTGAGCCTCAGTTGTCCCTAGTGTGTCAGGGAAGCTTGGGGACAGTTGTGGAAGGCTTTGCTTTGCTCCTCTCCCAGGGGCCAGCTGCAGGGGGCTGCCAGCCTTGTAAGCTGTCTTTCTGCCATCATCTTGTCTCTCACCCCCAGTTGCTATTCGCCAGCCTAAGCTTGAATGGGTGTCATTCTCTTCACAGATCCCAGAAATTATCCATTTCTGCTGTGATTTCCTCATGTCCTGGGTGGACGAGGAGAACATCCTCGACGTCTACCGACTGGCAGAGCTGTTTGACTTGAACCGCCTAACTGAGCAGCTGGACACCTACATCCTTAAAAACTTTGTGGCCTTCTCACGGACTGACAAATACCGCCAGCTTCCCCTGGAGAAGGTCTACTCCCTCCTTAGCAGCAATCGCCTAGAAGTCTCCTGTGAGACTGAGGTGTATGAGGGGGCCCTGCTCTACCATTACACCCTTGAGCAGGTGCAGGCTGATGAGATCTCATTGCACGAGCCCCCCAAGCTCCTTGAGACAGTGCGGTTTCCCTTGATGGAAGCTGAGGTCCTCCAGCGGCTGCACGACAAGCTGGACCCTAGCCCACTGAGGGACACGGTGGCCAGCGCCCTCATGTACCATCGGAATGAGAGCCTGCAGCCCAGCCTGCAGGGTCCGCAGACAGAGCTGCGGTCAGACTTCCAGTGTGTTGTGGGCTTTGGGGGCATTCACTCCACACCATCCACTGTCCTCAGCGACCAAGCCAAGTACCTGAACCCCCTGCTGGGAGAGTGGAAGCACTTCACTGCCTCTCTGGCCCCCCGCATGTCCAACCAGGGTATCGCCGTGCTCAACAACTTTGTGTACTTGATTGGAGGGGACAACAATGTCCAAGGATTCCGAGCTGAGTCCCGTTGCTGGAGGTAGGAAAGAGTACTTGGTGGTACATTTGCCTGCAGGTGATGCTGTGGTGCAGGATTCATGGGCTGAGAAGGCTGGGTTGGGGGTATGTTATGCAAGGGTGCATCACCTGCTTCCCCTTCAGCCTTTTACATGAACATCTTGGTTTGTTGGGGGTCCACCTGTGTTATGGAATAAAGTCCAGGTGAATTCAGAGAATGTGGACTGCAATGAGATGAGGAAAAAGGGCACCAAAGCACCTGGATTGCTTTTTTTCCCCCTTGTCCTCTGCTCCTTCTCAGAAACCCACTTACTCTGGATCCCAGCCTGCTCAGCCTTGTTGGGAAGGGTTTGGGTTGTGAATGCAGCAGGCACCCCACCTGGCTGAGCATGAGATTAGGGAAGCCTACGATTGGCTGAGCATGAGAGGAGGGAAGCCTGCGGCAGGAAGGGTGGTTGTGGCTGGGAAGGAAAGGACCTAGGAGCCAGAGAGTGCTAGATAGGGCAGCTGCTCCTTCTGTCTTGCTCTCTTGAGCTTTGACACATCCTTTCTGCTTTTCTTTCTTCTCTCTGAACCACCAGCCCGTGGCAGAGGACAGCTTCCTGCTGCCACGCCCAAGTGAGCAGTCCTCAGCCCAGGGGAGTGGTAGAGGCCAACAAGCATCACTGAGCTTCCTGCTAAATTTCCCCCACTCAGCCCTGTAGTCAGGGCATAAGGTCCCCCAGAAGAGGTAGTGTTCCCAGAGTGGGGTTTGTGGACTGCTGTTGATCTGTAGGATGATTCCAGCTCTTTCAGTCAATTAGGCTATGATCTCACAAGTCCATTGCTTTGGGCAGAGCAAGGGACAGTAGGTCAAGTCCCTGCAGCCTCAGCTACCGTTATACTTCCAGGGGCCCCTCCACTGTGCCTTGGCGCATGTGGGACGTCTCCCCATCCTGCATGCTGAAAGATGGCACTGCTGAGAGATTGCCAGCTGCTTCTGGCAGCTGTGAGCTAGGTGCTAAACAAGCCCTGTTTATGTTTCTGTCTTCTGAGGTAAGGGTGGTGCTGTGGGTTGAATGTGTCCCTCAAAGTTTCATGTGTTAGAAACTTAATCCCCACTGTACCCATGTTAAGAGGGTGGGAAGTCCTATTATGGTAATTGAAAGGTGAGACCTTTAAGAAGTAATTAGGTTGTAAGCACTGTACCCTAGTGAATGTATTAATCCATTGATGGTTTAATGGATGATGATGGGCAAGGTTCAGTGGCTTTAAAAGGAGAGCAAGTGAGGAGGTTAGTTCTCTCTTGCTTAGCCATTTCCTATGTTATACCCTGTGTCACTGTAGAGTCTCACCACCAAGAACCTTCACCAGATGTGTTTTCTGGCCTTTGGACCTCCCAGCCTCTGAAACTAAGAATTAAATCTGTTTCTTTATAAATTGTCCAGTTTTGGGTATTCTGTTATAAGCAGCCAAAACAGGCTAATACAGAAAATTGGTACCAAGAATTGGGATGTTGTGTTGCTTATAACAAATGCCTGAAAATGTGGAAGTGACCTTCAAAACTATAAGAAATAAATTCTATTTCTTTATAAATTACCCAGTTTTAGATAATGTTATAAGCAACAAAAAGCCAGGCCACTTGGAATCAAACATGGTGATCCTAACCAAGGAGGAGATGGCTCTTCTTTGAACACCTCTGCTCTCCTGGTTCCAGAAAGCGATCACCTTTGTTGATCAAGACTCAAACAAAGATTGACAATAACATGTTGTGGTTAAGTATGAGAAAGGGCAGAATTCAGAAAGGAGGAAACAACTACCTTCATTTCCTCCCTAACCAAACCTGTTCTCGGTGGGTGTGGCCACACTAGGTTCAGGCTTCCTTCTGGCCAAGCCTCAAAGCCTCATTTTTAGGGGGCTCAGTTTCCCAGTTGGGGGACCTAGGCCAGACCTCCCTGTTGAGATCAGCCCACAGACCTGCAAAGCAGATCTTTCCAGAGTGTTCTGGCCTCTGGCCCTCAGCAGAAAGTGGAGGTGGCTATGTGCCCAGAGAAGGCGATGCTTTTCCACAGGGCTGTTTCTGGAGGTGACAGCTGGGGACTCTTCCTGCCTATGTACTCTATCCTCTTGTTGGGGGCCATTGACCTCAGTTTCACTAGAGACAGTGAACTAAATTTCCCTTTTGTGAATATGTGCTGTGAGACCAAAGCTGAACTCTGGAAGATGCTAATATTAGCCCCTGAAATCAATAACCACAGTCTCAAACTCCAGTCTGGGGATTGGCTCACAATGGCAAAGTTAGGCACTCACAGGGTGTACACAGGGAGGACCATGCCTTGCCTGCCAGTTAACCCTGGGATCTGTCATCTCTACAGAATGAAAGTTTCATTAATCTCCCAGTGGACCCAAAACTTCTTGGTGAATCTCCTTATTTGAATGTTCTAAAGTTTGGTTCTTTCTCCCCTTACTTCTTTGATAGTTCCCCAGTGTTAGAACTTATAGGCTCACAGGGTATAAGAAAACAAGATTTTGTAGTAAATTAGAGTTTGCATTTTGAGGACTTAGGTACTTACCAGGTCGTATCTTAAAGCAAGCATTGATTGATACGGAAAGAAATTGCATGTAAAAAGTTATCTCTCTTGGAGCACATTGTATTTGACTCCAAGATACCACTGTTTCTTTGTTATTCTTTCTTTGATGCATCTATATATCCCACATTGTTCTTTGTACCTTTTTCATAAATATAGCCCTATGGGCTACTGAACACCAACTGCATGCTGTACCTAGTACTAGCTGCTCCCATGCTGCCATGTGCCCTGACCCTACTGAAAATAATAATTTGGTGATAATTCCAAGGTCAAGAGTTTGGATCCCGTAAAAAAAGATAAAATAATAATTTGGTATTTTCCTTAGGTATGTCCATGGCTGTTAATATATTAAACTACATTTAAATTTTTAAAAAATTTCATAGACTTTAAAACATTAATAGTCATGGAAATGCTTAAGTCATGGAAATACAGAAGAAAAAAAGCTATTAAACTTAACAAGGATTTCAGAACAGTTTTGTACCAACTCTAGATTTCACTTCTGAGTTTTCAGTAGGATGATCCAAAATCTAGATTAAAGTGACTATTTTAGTTCAGGCTGCTATATCAAATACCATGGATGGCTTAAACAACAAGCATTTATTTCTCATAGTCTGGATGCTGGGAAGCACAAGATCTTGGTGTCTGCTGATTCAGTCCTGGTGAGGGCCCTTTCTTGCTGTGTCCTCACATGGTAGACAGAGAGTTCTAGTCTCTTCTTCTCATAAGGGTAATAGGCCTATCATGGGGCTCTACCCTTATGACCTAATCACCTCCCAAAGGCCCCACTTCCTAATATAATCACATTGGGCGTTAGAGCTTCAACATGTGAATTTTGGAGGGACACTCAGTCCATAGTGACATTCAGTCCATAGTGGTGACTGAAACTGCTTATATCTTTATATGAAATAATAATGCTTATTTTTATTAGAAAAAATATTACTCGAGGATTTATTCTGACAAAGTGAAAAATTAACCCAATGAAGAGCAAGAGGTGGGATACAGGATACAGTAGGGAAATAAGAAGTCAGTGAAACTTTGGTTATATCTAACTTACTGATGTATGGTGTCAGTGTGTGTGTTTCCTTAAATCTGAAGTCACAAAATCCAGATGAACTTGGCGAAGAAGTTGTGAGGGCAGGATACCAGAAGGAAGCAAGCAGAAGTGTCCCAGGGACTTGTCTCACTCTGGTGGGAGAAGCAGATGCTAATTTGGGCTAGACTCAAAATGGAGCCATGAGACATGTGCATAAAGGAACTTAGTGCTCAGGAATGGCAGTGAATGGTGCCATCCTGTCAGTTGACAGGCCTCTGTGAGCTCTGTGCCCCAAGCCGGACAGCCCATCCCCAGCCAGACCTTCCTTCGGCTTGTACCCAGTCATTCAGGTCTCAGATGCCACCTTCTCAGAAGGTCTTTCCTGGTGGTCAGAAGAGAGCACTGCCCTCCCTAGCCTCCGCTGACCAATAGATCTCTCTCCTTACCTCACTTTTTTTCTGTGTGGTATCTGTCATTATATTGAGCACTTGTATGCTCTGTTTAGCCTGTTTCCCATTCTACAGTGGAAGGCAGGGCCCTGGCCTCTCAAGTTTTCCTGTGGAGTCCCAGCACTGAGTACTGTGCCACATACACGTTGGGGGCCAGTGAATATTTGTAGAGTGAATGAATGATTTCATTGCTGGTAGTCTTACTCCTTTGTTTTCTTCACCCAGCAGAGAGTATGAAAGATTTTTAGAGCACCGTGAGCCAGATGCTGTGCTAAGGTCTAGGAATACAGAAATGAACCCTGGTCCTTTATGGATGCCCCACAAGTTAGCAAGGACCCTTTTTATGCTTGATGTTGATGTTCTTTACAATCCCTCTTGGTAGTTCTTCTTTCTTTCTTTCTTTTTTGGTGGCTGGCCAGTACAGGGATCAAACTCTGGACCTTGATGTTATCGGCATCACGCTGTAACCCACTGATCTAACTGGCCAGCCCTTGGTAGCTTTTCTAGGCAAGTGATATCACCCAGTGGACAGGTGCAGAGACTGAGTGAACACCAAGAGATTAAAACGAACACCCAGGTATGCCCAGCTAGACAGGGGCAGAGCCAGGATGCAAACCAGGTGCGTGTTTGCTCTCCTGTTGGCCCTGCCTCTTGAGGCACCTGTTTCCTGTATTCCTGGCTGGTGAGGGGCTGGCCCAGTGGCAGGGTCAGGAACAAGCAGTTGTAGACTGTGTCTAACTTGTGCCTTGGGGTGAAGTATGAAACTGATCTTTCCACTGACCAATACAGGGCACAGGCCAAGGAAAACTTTGTTTACTGTCTTATGAGCCAGTTGAGGGTAGACTTGTTCTCTTTGGAATTGATCTTACTCTGGAAAAATAAAAACACTTGCCTGAAAGAGGCTATAACTATCCATGGGCTGTGGGGCAGGGAGACTTCAGAAGCCAGAGCTGGTCAGATGTTGGTGCCTGGGTGGTTTTCCCAGGGGAAAGGGCCAGAAATGTAGGTGGGGGAAAGAGTGCGGGATTTGGGCTCATGGGATCCTGGCCCCTTGTGGCTCTGCTCATTTGTGTTCACCCAAACAGCACACCCATCTTTGTGCTTCATGTGGGACTGGCAGAATGGCAGGCCTGGGGCACAGAGAGAGAGGGAAGGGGCAGTGGGGACCCCCAGGAAGTGAGCCTAGGATGGGGGGTGCTGGAAAGACAGGTGTGGACTTGGACTCTGAAGGCCCTCAGGTGCTGGGCTCAGGCATTTGGATTTTGGTGTGTGAGCAGGGGCTTTGCTGGTGTGGATGAGAGCAATGGATTGGGGAGCAAGGTTCCACTGAGGACAGGTGAGTGGCCAGGTGGAGATGGCTGGGAGGCGTTTGCATTGTGGGTCCAAAGTGCAGGAGAAAGCAATGGGTGATGGTTCATAGTCCTGTGTGGCTGAGATCACTCTGGGTGGAGAATCGGAAGCCCTGTGAAGGCAGAAGAAGGGCCACAGCAAAGGCAGGGGAGGGGCGGCCTGAGGGGGCACGGCTGGCTTTGTGTAGGAGTGAAGAATTATGCCTGTTGCTTGGGGACTGGACTTTTTTTTTTTTCCTTTTTGTCTTTTTTACTGACCGGTAACGGGATCGCAACCCTCGGTGTCACGCCCGTACTGGGGACCGGCAACGGGATCGCAACCCTCAGTGTTGCGCCCGCACTGTGCTCAGCCAGTGAGCGGGAACCGGTCTCCACATGGGATCCGAACCCTCGGCGGGAGTGCCACCGCGCTCACAAGTGGCGCACTCTCCAGTGTGCCACCGGGCCGGCCCAGGGGACTAGACTTTTTTATGAAGGGCTGTGACTTGGGGGACAGGTGCATCTCCCATGAAAGGGGTGTGAGGTGGCTCTGATGTCAGGAGAATGAGCTGCAGTAACAGTGCTTGAGGGGCTCAACACAGTTCCCTCCCTCCTTTCCCTCATCCCCTTCCCTTCCCCACAGACCTGGGCTGCTCAATGTTGCAGACTGCTCTCCCAGGTGGCCTCAATTCAGCCCAGCCTCGTGGGCCTGCTGCAGCCAGCTGGTCATCTTTTTTCCCATGAGGGTCCCTGGAATCTCACAGGACCCTGCGCTCATGCTGTGCCTATAGTCCAGGGTGGGAGTTAGCATTCCCACTTCTGCAGAGAGGGAGACCTTGAGTGGAGAGGACTCCCCCAGTTGGGGAGGTCAGAAATGCCGTGGGGACCATTGGCAGAACAGTTAAGTCAGGTGCCAAAGGGGGTGGTGGAAGCCTGGTGCATGCTGAATGACAACAAGGCTGAGGGTGCAACGGGCACTGTGTGTAGAGTGTGCCTGAGCATGCAGGGAGGGTTCCAGCTGGGCTGTGAAGGAGGGAAAACGGCTGGAGCAGGAGGTGCAGGCCTGCAGGGCAGGCTCCTCACCTGGTTAGTGATGTGCTGTCCTCATGTCCCCTCAAAGGTATGACCCGCGGCACAACCGCTGGTTCCAGATCCAGTCCTTGCAGCAGGAGCATGCCGACCTGTGCGTGTGTGTTGTGGGCAGGTACATCTACGCTGTGGCAGGCCGTGACTACCACAACGACCTGAATGCTGTGGAGCGCTATGACCCCACTTCCAACTCCTGGGCCTATGTAGCCCCGCTCAAGAGGGAGGTAAGGAAACCCTCCAAGAGGGGCCTCTTCTGCCTGATATTTTTTCCCTGGGGTGTGCAGAGTGAAAAGCCCAGGTATGAAGGCTAGTGTCAGTCCCAGGTTGGGGAACCAGGCCCAGTGACCAGAGTCCATGTCCCTCCAATGACCCTGCACTTAGTGTGTTGATGGGGGTCCCCTGACATTTAGCCAAGCTACCTGGGAAGAGGGTGCATTGAGCACCCAGACCCGATTCCCTGGAATTGTACCTCCTTCTTGAGTCTCACATGCTGAGACCTTGTCCCACTACCATTACCCAGTAAGCTGCTTTAACCCCGTAGTTCAGAGTAGACAGAAACCTTCCCTCTGTCTGTCCCTTATCACAGCTGGGATGAGCTGGCACATTTCCAAAAATGTTAAGCAGGAGGAACCCTGAAAGAGAGGAGGCTCTCAGCAGCTCAGCTCACAGGCCTATCCTGGGACTTCTCCCCACAGACCCCCTGGAGGACCGGGCCTTCAGAAGCCAAAAAATCCTTTTGAAAGGTTTTATATTTCATATATATATAAATCCTAGGGCCAGCCCATGGCTCACTCAGGAGAGTATGGTGCTGATAACACCAAGGCCACAGGTTTGGATCCCTATATAGGGATGGCCACTTAGCTCACTTGGGAGAGCGTGATGCTGACAACACCGAGTCAAGGGTTAAGATCCCCTTACTGGTCATCTTTAAAAAAAAAAAAAAAAAAAATTCTGGATAATACCCTGGTTTATTCCAGTTTGAAGATGTTTAAAATTACATTCATTATGCAAAGGTGAGGCTTTGGGGAGGTGCCTCTCTAAAATCCTATGGCTTTGGGGTATTCAGATCTGGCCCAAAAACCAGACAGGATCCCAGGGGAGGAGGCCTTGCTGGCCCCCCACTTCCTGAGTCCCAGCCTCTGAGAACAGCATATGCACCCTGCTAGTAGGGGCATTGCTTTGGAGATCCCCAAGCACCCCAGATGCAGAGGATGGTGTGGAGGCCACATGGGTGGGCTGTGTCCCAGGCTCTGCCCGCACTATCTCTTGACCGTGGCCAGAGCTCTGGTCTTTGTGAACCTTTTTCCACTGCCTGCCATTTTTATATCTCACCCTTCCCCAAACTCCCCGGGGACTTAGACCTTGACCTCAGGAGACTAGGGGGTAGGGGCTCTCTGATGGGTCTTGCTCATCTCCACCTTAGTCCCTCACATAGCCCACATGTATTCCTCACATGCTGCTGTGAGCTGTGGCCTATTTCTTGCACCTCAGCTTCTACAGGGGAAGGAAGCTTCTTTGGAGGGACGTTTCCTATTCCTATCCCCATCCTGGAGAAAGGAACAGATTTTGCATGGAAGAGATCAGGGGGTCCTTGAGACCTGTCGGACGAGGAGGGCTCCTGGATTCCATTCCAGGAGTCAGGAGGGTGTGAAGGGGTTACATCCTGAGCCATTGGGGGAGGGGCTTGAGTGGTTCTTTGTCTGGGGCTGCTGGGGAAGCCGCAGTTCTTCAGCTTGGCCACAGAGGGGCAGCCTTGGCCTTTAATCAGCTGCACTCTGGCTGCCAGTGTTCCTTCTTTCCTGCATGCATTCATTCCTTCCACAACTACTAAGCGCCATGTACCAAATCCTGGAGATCCAGTTATGACAAGAAATGGCAAAGACCTCCCCCGCCATGGTGTTTACAACCTTGCAGGAGAGAACTTTCTTAACCACCAAACAAGTCAGTAAAGTGGTTGTGGTAAGTGCAGTAGAGGAAACAAAGGGGGCACTGAACTGAAGGATTTCCAGGGAGGGAGCTCTGGCAGGACGGTTCTAGATGGACTGTTTAAGGAAGATCCATCTGAGGAGATGTCAATTAGACCAAGGCCTAAAGGAAGACAGGCAGCCATTTGCAGAGAGAGGAAGGGCCTTCCAGGACAGGAGAGGGGGGTTCACAGTTCCTGAGAGGGAGGGGAAGCATATGGAGTGCTTGTGAAGAGGAGCAAGAGCAGAAGCAAGGAGTGCAGTCCCTGGGCCATTGTGTGGTCAAGGCAGATGGCGATGGTGGCCTGTGCCAGGGCAGAAGTTGTGGAGATAGAGGGAAATGGGTGTATTTAGGATGCAGTTGGGAGGTAAAGTGACCAGACTTACTGATGGATCAAATGTTGGGGAAAGAGAGGGGCTAGATCATCAAAGATGCCCAGGCTCAAGGTGTGGATTGGTGGATAGGCCACGCACCAAGAGAAAAAATAAATAGGTTTGGGAGTAAACCTATTTTTTGCTCTAAAACGAGCAACATGAGACGCCAGGGACACATCACTTTAACATCAGAAGTCTGAAACTCAGGGGAGTGGGCAGACTAGAAATAGAAATGTGGAGGATTTGGCAGCACATGAGGGTCCTCTGGTTGTGGGAGTGGTTGTGATCAGCTTGGGGGAACAGGGACAGTGAAAGGTCAGTCAGTGGAAGAGCAGCCAGAGTACGGAGATGGGAGGTCTGCAGGTCCTGGAGAAGGCAGGTGTGCAGCCATCATAGGAAGTCTTTAGGGTGTCTGCAAGGACTGGAGGCGCGGGCCCACCTTGCCAGCTCAGAACTCACACTCAGACCTAGTGATTGGCCAAGGGAGAAAAGGCTGTCACATGGCCTCATCCATTTGTCACATTCACTCACCTGTGTTCTCAGGGACTCCTGAAATGCCGAGTCTCACCAGCGTGGCATCATTAAGCACTGGTTACTGACACGTCCCCAACAGCCTGTGAACTCCCTGCTGCAGCAGCAGGCAGAGTCCTCTGGTCACAGGCTTGGCCCAAAGTCAAGTTTTGCCTTTCTGGGCTTCTAGATGAGAGAAAGGAGGTGTCTGCAGGGTATCCCTTTTCTTTTTGTTTAAAAACTTCCCCAAAGAACTTGTGCTTCCAGGAAGATGTATTCTTCCCTATCGCTCCCACTAAGTACAACTCAAAACTCTAGACATTATATGTAAAATAAACATAAGACCTTGTAAAGTAGGCAGAAGGCAGGCCGGCTGGGGGTCGTGGGGTCTGAGGAACAACATGGTCCTATGTTTCCTTGGTTTTCGTTGTGCTTTATATATCTCAGAACTAAAGAGGCTGTCACCTGGAAACACCCATGGGAAGCAGACTTCAACAAATGTATAAGAGCTGAAATCATGTAGTGTGTTCTTGGACCAAAACGGGCTGAAACTAAAAATCACTAGCAGAAAGATAACAGGAAAATCTCCAAATGCTTGGAAGCTAAATAACACACTCCTAAAAAATCCATGGGTCAAAAGGAATTAATAAAAATGCCTTGAACTGAATGAAAATGAAGACTGCATGTCAAAATTTGTGGGACACAGTTAAAGTTGTGCTGAGAAGGAAATTTGCAGCACTAAAAACATACATTAGGGAAGAGGAAAAATCTTAAATCAATAATCTAAGCTCCCATTTAAAGAACCCACAGAAGAAAAGCAAAATAAACCCAAAGCAAGCAGAAGAAAATAAATAATAGAGTGGAAATCAATGAATTTAAAAGCAAACAAACAATAGAGAAAATAAATGAAACAAAGAACTGGTTCTTTCAGAAGATGAATAAAATTGACAAACCTCTAGCAAGACTGACAAAGAAAAAGAAGATACCATTAAAAATCTCAGGAATAAAACAGGAGACATCACTTCAAACCCTGCAGACATGAAAAGGATAATGGAATAGTACCAACAAATCTACAGATGTAAATCTGACAACTTAGATGTAATGGATCAATTTCTCAAAAAACACAACCTACCACAACTCAGTACAAATAGGTAATTAGAATAGACCTATACCTGGTAAGGAAATTGAACTTCCCAAAAAGTAATGTCCAGGTCCCAGTGGTTTAAATAGATAATACTACTAAACTCTTAAAGACAAATTAACACATACAAAATTTTTTCCAGAAAATAAAAGAGGAGGGAATACTTCCCCATTCATCTTATGAAGTTAATATTACCCTGATACCAAAATCAGACAAAGACAGTACCAAAAGAAAAAACAACTAATTCCTCATAAATATAGACCTGAGTATCCTTAAGAAATATTAGCAAACAGAATTAGCACAAACGAAACAAAATAGAATATCATGACCAAATGGGGTTGATTACAGAGATGTGAGGCTGGTTCAGTATTTGAAATTCAGTCGGTGTAATTCACCATATTAACAAGCTAGAGAAGAATCACATGACCACATCAGTCAACGCAGAAAAAGCATTTGACAATATTTAGAATCCATTCATGATCAAAGTCTCAAAAAATAATTATAGAGAGGAATTTCTTCAACTTGATGAAGAACACCTACAAAGAAGATTGAATCAAATGCTTTTCCCTTAAGATTGGGAACAAGGCAAGGATATCTATTCTCACTTAAATCTTATTCAACATAATCCTAGAAGTTCTAGCCAGTGAAATAAGGCAAGAAAAGAAAATAAGGACATACAGAAACTGAAAAGGAAGGAACAAAGCTGACCTTATTTTTAGATGATGTAATTGTCAAAAATCTAAAGGAATCTACAAAAAAATGCACTAAAAAGTGAGCTCAGCAAGCTTGCAGGATACAAGATAAACATACAAAAATCAATTATATTTCTATGTACTAGCAATAAACATGTGGACACTGAAATTAAAAATACAATACAGTTTAAAATTTCTCAAGTAAATAAAAGGCTTAGGTATAAATCTAACAAAACCTGTACAGGATTTGTGTGCTGAAAATTATAAAATGCTGATGAAAAATAAAAGGTGTAAACTGATGAAGAGACAGACCACGTCCATGGATTGGAAGACTCAAATAGTAACAGTGTCAGTTCTTGCCCAATTCATATACAGATATTAATACAGTTTTCCTTACTCATACAGTATTCCTGATATTAATACAGTATTAAAACAAGAATTTGGTATTCCCATCAAAATCCCAGCAAGGTTTTTCGTAGTATTAAGAAAAAATTAGGGCCGGCCTGTGGCTCACTCGGGAGACTGTGGTGCTGATAACACCAAGGCCACAGGTTAAGATCCCATATAGGGATGGCCGGTTAGCTCACTGGGTGAGCGTGGTGCTGACACCACCAAGTCAAGGGTTGAGATCCCCTTACCAGTCATCTTTTAAAAAGAAAAGATTAAACCTGAGGCAGCAGTTTGGATATACCCTTAGGCCACTGCCTGTAGCCATATAACTGGAAGTAAGCTTTCTTCCCTTGTCAGCATAACACTGCAGAGTTTGTGCAGCTCTTGCACCACAGGAATCGCTCCTGCTTTGCTGGTGGGAATGTAAAATGGCAGAGCCACTCTGGAAGAGTTTGGCAATTTCTTTCAACTACCATGTGACCCAGCACTTGCCATCCTGGGTATTTGTCCCAGAAACATGAAAACTTCTCTGTATACAAATATTTAGCAGCTTTATTGGTAATGGCCAGAAACTAGGAACAAATCAAGTGTCCTTCAACAGGTGAATGGTCGAACAAACTGTGGTAGGTAGACACATGTGGAATACTGCTTAGCAATAAAAAGAGAACCAGTTGTTGGTACAAGGAAGAACCTGATTGTTGTGGAAAGCCAATCTCAAAAGGTTATATACTGGTTTTATTCATCTAACACTCTCGAAGTGACAAAATTGTAGAAATGGAGGAGAGATTGGTGGTTGCCAGGGATTAAGGAGGCGGTTTGGGGCAGGCGGGAAGCAGGCGCAACTATAAAAGGGCAACATAGGGGATACTAGTGAAAACGTTCTGTGGTTGAATCAATGTCAGTATCCTGACTGTGGTACTGTAATATAGTTACACAGTCCTTTGCCTCTGGGGGAAACTGCCTGTAGGGTAAATGGGATCTCTATTATTTCTTCCAACCACATGTGGATCTACACTTATTTCAAAATGAAAAAAAAAAAAAAAAAACCAAAAAACTCCCCAGACTGCTGCCATTGATGGGAGAAGACCCAGACCCTTGGTGTTTGTCCTGCCTGTTGCTCTGTTCACCTCTCCAGCCTCCTGTTGTGCCACCACATGGCCTAAGTGTCAGCGATCCCCCCCTGTGACACAGTGCCACAGCCTCCACACCCCAAGAGGCTCTTCTTCCCCCCAAACACACTGTGCCTTGCCTTGGGACCTTCTGTTGGCCTGTTGGGTGTGAGTGGGTAGGTCCTAGAGGCAGAGGGGCCAGGGTGAGGGGTGCAGGTGGGATTGGGAGTAGGAAGCCTGTGAAAGGTTGATCAGAATCAAGAGCAGGGTGGTGTATTCACCTCTACCCCATCCAAAGTGGTAGTGTTCTTCGTATCTGATTTTGTGACTCACTCTTTTCCTCCCCACATCATGAGTTTCATATCAGTGGATATCTGTTTACACACAGATTTGGAAAGTGGGGTCAGCAGGCCCGGAGGATTGCTTGGCTAGTGGGAATGGGGGAGAGGCGGAGGCCACTGACAGGGGTCACCAGTTCCCAGAGTGCGGTGGCCTTTCTGACTGGCTCTGAAAAGGATGCTTTGATTTTCTTGCAGTTCCCCTATGCAGATGTTTCCTTTAGGGGCAAAGGAGAGACAAAGATTACATTTGATCTCTGGGTCTATAGATGCATCTCCTATTGGGAAGAGAGATCAGTGGTCAATGACTAGGACAATATGTCTGATGAGGATTCAGGGAGCATGTGAGGAGGAAGCTGGGAAGTGGTGAAGCCACGAAACCCATCAGGCAGGTGTAGGGTGGTGAGTGGCTTCAGGAGAGGCTGCCTGGCTACCCTTCCTCACTGCCCTCTTGCCCCTTCCAGCCTGACCCAGTTCTCTTGTGGCTCCACACAGGTATACGCCCACGCAGGCGCAACGCTGGAGGGGAAGATGTACATTACCTGTGGCCGCAGAGGGGAGGACTACCTGAAGGAAACACACTGCTACGACCCAGGCAGCAACACCTGGCACACCCTGGCTGATGGGCCCGTGCGGCGTGCCTGGCATGGCATGGCCACTCTCTTGGACAAGCTGTATGTGATCGGGGGCAGCAACAATGATGCCGGCTACAGGAGGGATGTGCACCAGGTGAGCCGGGGCCACCCACCCACATCATTTCCATCCCTTCCAGTTGTTATTGATGAAAAATGTGATTGCAACATGTACTTTTTATTTAAATAGACTTTATTTTTTAGAGCAGCTGTTTTACATTCACAGCAAAATTGAGTGGAAGGTAAAGAGTTCCTATATGTCCTCCTCCCTGCATGCCCCTCCCCCACTGTGGACATGCCATGCTTGAGGGGTGGATGTATTCCAGTCGATGGCCCTTCTTTGACACCTCTTTGTCACACTAAGTTCATACTTCACATTAGGGCTCGCTCTTGGTGTTCCACATTCTATGGGTTTGGGCAAATGTATAAAGACATGTCTACTGTGACAGTATCACACAGAATAGTTTCACTTGTGCCTTCTTTATTATCAGAGACTTTCATTATAATCTTAATATCATTACATTGCTCAACCTTTAAAAAAGAGAGAAGGGTGAGGAAAAACACTCATAATTGGGCCCCTGCATCACTATCTTTCAGTCTTTTTACCTATGCATGGTTTCTGCCTAATGATAGTCAAAGAGTATCCTATTCTGCTTATCACTGACATTTGTCCCAGGCATTTTCCAGTTTTAACACTCAGTCTTCATCACCACCACCACTGTGATGTGTTCTATCAGACTGATGCATCATTTGGCTTGGTCTATTTTAACTATTCCAAATAACATTACGAGTAATACAAAGGGTCTTCAAAAGGTTCATGGAGAAAGTAGTAGTATCTTTTAATTCTATTTTTCCATGAATTTTTTGAAGTACCCTTGTATTTGTATTGTAGAGCTTTTTCAAGTATTTTGAATTATTTCCTTAGGTTCATACAGTGAGTCTCAAAGTGTGGTTCCCAGCCCAAAGCATCCACATCCTGTGGGAACGCTGAATCAAGAATGCAGATTATCAGGCCCCTCCCAAACCAGCTGATGTGGAAGCTCTGGGTGTGGGTCTCGGTGATCTGTGTTTTAATGGGCCCTCCAGCAATAAGAACCTCTGGGCCAGAATATTAGTTTCCTATTGCTGCTGTACAGATCACCACAAATTTAGCTACTTAACGTAAATTTATTCTTACTGTCTTAAGTCTGGCCTGGGTCTCACCAGCCTAACATCAGGGTGTCATCAGGGTGTGTTTCCTTTGTGGAGGCCCTAGGGAAGGATCTATCTCTGTGCTTAGGTTGTTAGCAGAATTTGGTCCCTGGTGGTTGTAGGACTTAAGTCCCTGTTTCCTTGCTGGCTGTCAGCTGCTTCTAGAGGTCACTGCTTTCCCTGGCTTGGGGCTGCCTTGTCTTCAAAGCCAGCAACAGCAGGTGGAGTTCTTACTTCTCATCTCCTGTCTAGCTTTCCCCTTCCACTTTTTTTTTCTTTATTTTTCATAGCCAAGTTCACCAAATCTCCCACTTTTAAGGGCTCATGCCATTAGATGGGTCCACCAGAAAGTCCAGGATAACTGTCCCACCTCAAGATCCATAACCTTAATTCCATCTGCAAATTCCTTTTTGCTAAGTAAGGTAACAGATTTACAGGTTCCAGAGATTAGGGCCTGGGCATCTTTGGGGAGCCATTATTCTGCCTACCACAGCTACAGAACTAAAATCAGTCAAGAAGATACGACTTTTTTTTTTTTTCCTTTTTGTCTTTTTTCGTGTCCGGCAAGGGATCGCAACCCTCAGTGTCGCACCCGTACCGGACCGGGACCGGCAACGGGATCGCAACCCTCGGTGTTGCGCCCGCACCTCGCTCAGCCAGTGAGTGGGAACCGGTCTGTATGTGGGGGGATCCGAACCCTCGGCGGGAGCACCGCCGCACTCCCAAGCGGTGCACTGTAGCAGTGCGCCACCGGGCCGGCCCAAGAAGATACGACTTTTGTGGCTCTTAATACACATTGCCAGATACACAGTAGTATGTCTTTACCACACCTTCATCAGCACTGGATATTGTGATTTTTCTTCCACAAGTAGTTGGTAGTTAACAGTTGAAAATTTGTCCCTGACATTTTGCTTTTGCATTCCTTGGATTACTAGTAGGTTGAACACTTTTCCACGTCTTTGTTTACTGTTTTAGATAATTTTGAAGACAAGAGAATGGTGATAGTCATGATTAGTCAGCAAGTAACTACTTCCACATTTTAGCTGCCCCTTCCCACAGCCTTGGGGCAGGTAAAGGTGTTTACTGGGGACCACATCCTCTGTCAACTTCAGTCTTGTGAAGGGGAGAGAAGCAGTACCTTCAGAATATTGAAAATGACAATATGCTGATGGGAGACACTCACACACGGGGGCCAGAGACTGGCTGACAGCCGGGTGGCATGGGGGAAGGCCTGTGCCCAGGTGAGGCCTGAGGGAGCAATGCTGTTCCGGCAAGGGTCTGGAGGTGGGCCTGCTGCAGACGTGGCCATCTCTGGTCCATGCATGTTTCAGTGCTGGCCCTGTACCATTCTTCTGGGAAGCCAGTTAAGTCCAGGGCCTGTCTGAGAGTGGCAGATGACCGAAGCTGCTCTGGTCATCCAGCCCGGGGTGGGCTGGCAGCCCTGTCCCAGCAGGTGCCCAGGCTTTACTCTGGCCTTGGCTTTGCAGGTGGCCTGCTACAGCTGCACGTCTGGGCAGTGGTCATCTGTCTGCCCGCTCCCAGCGGGGCATGGCGAGCCTGGCATTGCTGTGCTGGACAACAGGATCTACGTGCTGGGTGGCCGCTCTCACAATCGCGGCAGCCGTATAGGCTATGTGCACATCTATGACATGGAGAAGGACTGCTGGGAGGAGGGTCCCCAGCTGGACAACTCCATCTCGGGCCTGGCTGCCTGTGTGCTCACCCTTCCCCGTTCACTGCTCCTCGAGCCACCCCGTGGGACCCCCGACCGCAGCCAGGCCGACCCGGACTTCGCTTCCGAGGTGATGAGTGTGTCTGACTGGGAGGAGTTTGACAACTCTAGTGAGGACTAGAGCTCCCGTTGCCTGGTGTCAGACCGAAGGGTGGCAGGAGCTCCAAGGACAGTGAGGCCATGGCGGCCTGGGCCATGGCACTTTACTCCAGGGTGTGGGGGTCTGTCCCCCGGCACCCATGGCTCACCAGCTCCTGCCACCCTTCTTTCACATCAGCCCCTTGCCAGCCTGCCGCGGGTGCTTGAGGGGCTTGTGCAGATGCTGTGGATTATGTTACAATGGGAAACGCTCCTGAAAGGCTTCAGTCCCCCTCAGTGAGCCCTGGAGGGCTTGTGTCACCAGCTGTCCTGGCCTACTCCCTCCCTCCTCAGGTCTGGTCCCTGCTCTGCCAAGAAGTTTTGTTCTCCAAAGGGAGGACCTGAGAACTGGCAGTCTGGGCAAAGGAGGCCAAGGCACATAGCACCACTCTTTCCATGAACAGGCTGGGGCTGGCTGAGCAGCCCCGAGCCCACCGTCTGCCCAGTAGCCAGGGGTTAGGGATTGAGAGCTCCCAAGGGGCAGAGAGGGCAGAGATACATAAGGTTGCCTGGGACTGGTTCTGGTGATAAAACAATATCCCTTACACTGGGTTTTTCTGACCCCATGTTGTTAATAAATGAAATAAAGCATCTTACAAAAAGTGTTAACTGTTTTCCTGTGGCCACAGCCTCAGTTCCTTTCCCACTCAGCACGTCCAAGCTGCTTCCCCAGGAAGCATGGGTTTCTGGGGTCAGAGCTGCCATAGGGGGACAGGCTGTGGCGTGGGAGTCGAGGCCAGGAGCTGAGTGGCACCGGGATGCCACAACCCCACCTTGAGAGGGAAGCACGATAAACTCCCCAAGCTAAAAGGGCGATCACCAGGAAACCTGACACCACCCCTCCCCACAGTCTGGGGACAGGTGGTAGCCCAGCCTGCTTGAGTCCCGTCTCTGGTGAAGAGCTCTTCTCCCAACCAGGGTGGCTCCTTGAATTTCAGTCCAGTTCTAGTTAGAAATCTCTTGGCTTCAAGTAAAGCCCCAGCCTGAGGGTCGGGGAGTGGGAGCCTGAGCACCTGCGGAGGGAGGCAGCATCATGGGAGGGGCATCACAGAGTCACAGTTCTGGATGAGGGAGAGGTAGCCCCACTGGCCTGTGCCTGGCTCCTCACAATCTCCTGAAGCAGAGGTGTGGTGGGGAGGAAGGAGCTGTATTCCCTAAAGGCTTGCAAGGTAACCCTTAGGCACCTTCTCTCAAGGGCCACACTGGCACAGCAAATGGGTCCTTCCCCTGCCCACCTTTACTGGTGCTTTTCCAGTCCTCTTGGGGTCGCCAAACAGCCCGTGCCTCCAAATACATGGGCTAAGGGTCCAGCACCAGCCAAGCCACAAAGCTGAGCTTCCAGGCTACACAAACCACACCCCTGCCTGCCGCAGGGTCTGCACCTGTTAATTCCTACTGGAGGCCTCCCTGCAGGAAGCCACCCTGCAAACAGGGCTGTGACTTATTAAGGCCCTGCCCTCTCCTGGTAGATTGGGCAGAGCATGGGGACAGTCAGGTCTTCTGGATGCTGCCTTGTCAGAGAAGGAAAGTGGACAGGCCCTGTATGCTACTTGATGGGAGGAGCAGGGGCAGGTTATGAGTCCCTCTGGACTCTCTTTTCTGGATACCCAAGGACTTTGGAGAGCAGAGGTATCATCTACCCCTGAAGGCTTTGTCTGTGTGTGTGTGTGTGTGTGACGTTCCTCATTGTCCTGGGCCCTGGGTACCATTGAGGAAATGTGACATCATGCACGGACAACTTAGGGTGGCAAACCCAGTGTTTACCCCCTGTGGGTCACTTTCAGTGGGACAGGATGGCCACACCCTCCGGTGTCATCTGTGCTCCCACGGGTGAGGTGCGAGAATGTAAGCTCAGAGTAGGGACCCCAGTCTGTGAGTCTCAGACTCAGCACTTTCTGTGTCTCTGCCACCACCTGACAGGCCAGGGCAGTAGTTCCCGCAGACCCCAGAGGTTTCTGGAAAGGAGTGCCAGAAATGCCCCATCACTCTCCAATATACCCCAAGCTTGTTAGCACTCTCTCCACCCAAGCCACCGGGCACAGCCACAGGTTTGCAAGAGGCCTCTGGTCTGCAGTGGGGAGGGAGAGCCCACTGAGTCCTTCATAGCCTGGGGAGGGGTTGAGAGCATCCTGGCAGTGTCCTGGGAGCTGGGTGGCATGCTGGCCCTGCCACTCTCGAGCCTCAGGCCCTGCCACTCTTGAGCCTCAGGCCCTGCCACTCTCGAGCCTCAGGCCCTGCTCAGCATTTGTGGCTGCGCCTCCTGCGCCCGGCCTAGACAGCCCAGCCTGGGCTGTTCAGCAGGGCCAGGCTCTCTCAGGCCCTGCTTTTATGCCAAATCCTCTTCACCCTTCAAGGTCCACCTCCTCTGGGAAGCCACTGTGGCCAGAACTAGCCAGCTGGGATTTGGGCTCCTGCAGTTTGCCTGTGGGGTGGTCAGTTGTCTGTGGGTGTCCGTGACCCCATGGCTTCTTCATCCTGATGTTTACCTGGAGCCAGGCCTGGCACATGGACCATCTTTCATTCTGCCCATAATTCTCAGTATCCCGCAAGGGTGCAGTGGTGGCTGGGACAGACGAAGGCCCTGCCCGTGACACCCAGTCTCCATCCACTGCGAAGTGTCTGTGATGAGACCCATGCAGGGGGCCGTGGGTCTGAGTGAGACAAGGCTGGGATGGTTCCTGTCCTGAGGGCAGTGCGGGGCAGCCAGATGCGAGATTAGAAAGACTACTCTGGGGGGCACACACGGAGGGGTAGAGATTGGAGACATTTAGGAGGTACTGGTGATGGGCATTGTCCAGGTGGTGCCCTTCAAAAGGTGGGGAATGGGGATGGGGAGCAAGGGCGGAGGAAGGGGAAAGAAGATGATGGAGTTGGAAGTGCCTGTTCATGAACTTGTTCCCACTGAGGTGAGTGTCCTCTCCAGCCCAGAGCTGGGAACTGGGCTGGGACAGACACTACAGCCACACGGACCTCTGCTGGCCTCTGTTGACAGTAGCCAGCAGGAGTGCCTGTGGGAGTGGCCCAAGCACTGGGAGGGCATTGCTGAGGTCAGGGCTATGCCCAGTTTGAGCTGCCCAGAAGTGGTTCGCCTGTTTACTTGTCCCAGAGAAGTGTTTGTATTTGTGACCGCACTGGTTCGATTTCCCCTTCCAGCCCACCCGCCTGATGCCCGGCCCCACCCAATGCTCTGGCCTCTCTGCAGCACCAGCAGGGCTAAGTGAGGGGCCCACCCTCTACCCCTACAAGCCTGCCAGCCTGTGGGCAGGCTTGATCCAAGCCCCCTTCTCCAGCCCCACCCTCTGCAGCTGTGGGGCCCTCCAAATAACTAGGAAAAGATACCTCTCAGAGATTCTCCTCAGAGAGCCTCTGGCCTGTACTCAACTCAGGCCCTCCCACCAGCTCACAAGTTCTCAAAAGACAAACATCCTTGCTGGGACCGGCTGCCCACAGGGGGCATTTGTGCTTCCTGCCCAGTCTCCCTGCTGCACGGTCCTGGGCGCCCCCTCCAGAGGACCAGGCACCCTTCTGCTTCCTTCTTTGCTCCCCCGCCCTGTAATTCTCCATCTCGTTCCCCTCCCACACCTTCTCAATGTTCTGCTGTCCCCAACCGCGCCGCCTGACGCAGGGGTTCCCAGTCTCCAGTCCCGACTCCACCTTCTGAACTTCTCCCTTTGGAGACCCAACAGCCGTCTTAGACCTGTCTCCTAGGCTCCACTACCCCTTTTCACCCCTTGTCAACGACCTCCACATTCTAGAACAGTCCACGGCAGGGCCATTCTACCTCCACGGCAACTCTCGTCCCTCCTTACGAAGACCCTCTTCCACTAAGTCACTGGTCCAGGCCGAGTCTACCCGCAGGCCTCAAGCATCCTGCTCCATCCGCCGCTCGCACTCTTTGATAGCACCGAGCGGAGTGCGCGGGAGGAGTTGACCGCACACTCCACCACTACGAGCTCTTTTCCGTGAGGGAGCTGAGAGGCCGGCTTGCAGCCTTGACCTGGACCGTCTGGGGGCCACCCTCCTCCGGCCGGTTCCGAGGTGCGGGAAGGGAGGCTTGGGGCCTCCCGCCCCGGGCCGGGCCGCGCAGTGAGCGTGCAGGGGCGGCTTCTCGGTGAATGTCTGGGGAGGGGAGAGAAAGGCGCGGGAACCGGGGATTCCTCGGGCGGGCCCTCGCGACCCTCCCTCCCCCAACGCTCAGCGGGCCTCTTCCAAGTTCGCCCCCAAGTTTGCGAGCGGCCGCGTGGAGGCGGGGGCCGCGCGGAGGGGCGGCGGCGGGGCTGGAGGGTGGGGTCTGGCGCGCGGGGCGGGCGCTGCTGCCTGGCC